CTCCTGGGGTGCGTTCTGACCAGGGTCCGAAGAGGGGAAACCGAGACAGGGTACAGGTATGGATACCTTTACCTCCGAACACCCCCACTGGGGCTTTCGGTGGAGCTCCCTATGGGGCCACGAAACGCTGTCCTGGGTGGGGGAGACGCATGCGAACACCCCCACTGGGGCCTTCGGTGGAGCTCCCTATGGGGCCACGAAGCGCTGTCCTGGGTGGGGGAGACGCATGCGCACCCCTGGATGTTCTTCGTCGGTGTCGATTCTGCGACTCCTGCCTCCGTGCAGGGAAGGAGGAAGAAAGCGGAGGGAGGGAGGGAGGGGGCGAGAGGCGGCCCTCGGAACCGCAGCGCTGCCGCCGCAGCGCCACTGGGCCGGGGGGCGCGCAGACCTGGATGGGCGCTCCATGGCTTCGGCGAGGCGGTCGCCGAATCCGTGGATCGCAGGGCGCGCCGCGAGAAGCGCGTGCCTTCCCCCCCCCCCATCGCTTCGCGGCGTCTCCACCTTTCTCACGGCGTCTCAACTTTTTTTGGAAGCGTCGGATCTCAGGGCGCGCCGCGAGCAGCGCGTGCCTTCCCCCCCCCCCCCTCGCCTCGCGGGGCGGACCTTGGGGCAGGGAGAAGCCAACAGGCCAGCCCAGCCTCTGCGCGTCGAGGAATTGAGAGGGGAGCGACGGGCGGCGGGAGGGCGCCGGGTGTCGGTCCCCTCCGGCTGCCCACTCGATAGCGGGGGCGCGCAAAACATGGATTAGCGATGCATGGATTTGGCGCGCGGTCGCCAAATCCGTGGGTCGGGGGAGGCGCCCCCCCCAAAATGCCGCCCGTGCCGCCCCGCTCGGCGGCAGGAAGCCGCGATTTTCCCATGGAAACGGGACAAGTCGCAAATCCACGCCCCCGGGATCCATACTTGCGATCGCCTGACTGGGCTCGTTTGGCAAAATCCATGGGACCACGGCTCATGTGGCACCAAGGTGTCAAAAGCGACCTCTGCCTGCCCCAGTCCCGCACACAGCACGCAGCCCCGGAGCCGACGCAGGAGGCGCCAGCAGGCGCGAGCGGCTGACCTACATGCAAGGACCGTCCGACGCGCTCCCCCAAGCCGCCGATCCTCCCATCGAGTTGAGGGGCAACGATGGGGTTAGGTCGGGCATGTCCCCCCTGCAGGCAGATTTCGAAGGACAATGTATATATAGATATACATATGTATACATATATATATATATATATATGTATACATGTATCTATATATATATATGTGTATATACATACATACATACATACATATATATATATATATATATATATATATATATATATACGTAAGGGCTTCGCCCCCTGCCGCCAGCCCCCTCTCTCGGAGAATGCGCTATGCAAGAGCTATGTCATGAGGCCTGGGCGCTGTCGTGAACCAGTATCGGAACTTCATGCGAGGCCGACTCGTAATGAGCAAAACCAATAGATGACCAGAGAGGTTACCACACCTGGCGATTGGTAAGACGTCGTGACCCTGCCGATCTGCGTGAGGGGAGCCACCGAATTTCAAAAATATGACAAATCCCCTTTGTTTTGGGACTCTGACCCCGCCGATCTGCGTGAGGGTTCAAAAATGTAGCAAATCCTTTATGTGTTTGCACCCTGACCCCGCCGATCTGTGTGAGGGGTGCCACCGAATTCCAGAAATGTAACAAATCCCATGTGTTTCTGCACCCTGACCCCGCCGATCTGCGTCAGGGGAGCAACCGAATTTCAAACATGTGGCAAATCCCTTGTGTTTTTGGACCCTGACCCCGCCGATCTGCGTCAGGGGTGCCACCGAATTTCAGGAATGTGACAAATCCCATATGTTTTTGCACCCTGACCCTGCTGATCTGTGTGAGGGGTGCCACCGAGTTTCAGAGATGTGCCACATCCCTTGTGTTTTTGGACCCTAACCCCGCCGTCTGCGTCAGGGGTGCCACCGAATTTCAGGAATGTAACAAATCCCATGTGTTTTTGCACCCTGACCCCAGCGATCTGTCTGAGGGGTGCCACCGAGTTTCAGAGATGTGACACATCCCTTGTGTTTTTGGACCCTGACCCCGCCGATCTGCGTGAGGGGAGCCACCGAATTTCAGGAATGTGACAAATCCCATGTGTTTTTGCACCCTGACCCCGCCGATCTGCGTGAGGGGTGTCAGCTTCTACCCACCCCAGCAATTCAGACTACGTTTTGGCCGTGGTAAAAATACCCGTTTTGGGCCTCCCCCCCTTGCGTGGTCCGTCAACAAGGAACAGTAAGCAGCAATAAGCAGAACTGCAACAAGGAACAGCAAGCAGCAAGAAGCAGAACTGTAACAGTGGAAACTGGAAGCTGCAACTGGTACGGGAAGTCTGCGAACCTCTGGCCTACAGCCTGGTGGCCCCACAAGGGGGCCGGCGGACATATTCATTTATATATATGTATATATATGTCTATATACATATATGCATATATAGTCAAAAATATTCAACAATGGGGAAATAATCGAGATCGTCCCCAGACTATTGCTTGACTATTTTGGGAATATTCCTCCTGGAACCATAAGGAATGAGACAGGCTCAGGGGGGGAAACATCGAACTGGAATCGGCAAGGCATCGCCGAGAGAACGGCGACAGGCCCCCGAGAGCGAATCCGAGAGGTCCGAGGCTTTGGTGGGCTAACTATCGGGGCCCGGTCTCCCATCAGTGGGCGATTGGGGGTCGATGCGTCCCCCTGTGCCCCCGTTGTCGGGTAGACGTAAGACGCGGGCTCGGCGGACTCGGGCTGGCCTGACGGGGCCATCATCAAAATACGGAATCCAGTCCGAAATTTGAACGCGACTCCCGAAACAGCCCACGAAAACTGGCCCGTCAAAATCCAGCACGCGCTGGCCAAAAAGCGTCGGCAAACCCGAAGACCGGCGCACTCCAGTCTTACGCTGACACCCCAAGGGGGCCCATCCCGCCGTCACATTGCCCATGACAAGTGCGAGGGTCGCACGCGCCTGGCGGCTCACCACGCCGTGCCCCCGTGCTGCGGTCGCTGGACGGGCACATCTCTGGGCACTCGTCTCCCGCGGCGCCCGTCGGGGCAGGAGGCATCCTTCTCTATGCGGCCCAATACCACCTCGACCACCTGCGGCATCCTCTGGACGACCCAAAATCTATGGAGCACGTTTGTTTGTTTTCGGCAGAGACGGGCGGGGGGGCCGCGGGGGGGTATGACGTAACGCCCCCCCCAACCGTGTGGCTCCGGCGCAGCAGGAGCTAATTTTCTGATTTTCTGGAATAGCGGCCGTCATCGGCCCCGCTCCCCCCCTAAGATGACGTCACATTCCGCGCCGGCGGCGTCCAGGAACGCCTAGGTATGAGGGGCCAACTAAGAGCAGCATGTAGGTGGCGATCTGCCCCACAGCGCCTGTGTACACCACAGTGCTCGCATTCACCACAGCGCGCGAGTACACCACAGCGCCTGCGTACACCGCGACAGCCGTGTGCAACGCAGCGCCCGTGTACACCAGTCTTGCGTGCACCGCAACGCCAATGTGTACGACGGCGAATGTGTACACCGCACAGCAACCAACCATGTGCGACATAGCGCCTGCGTACACCACAAAGCTCGCGTGCAACGCAGCGCCTGTGCACACTACAGCGCCTGTCTACACCACCGCATCCGCGTGGAACGCACCGCTGGTGTATACCACAGCGCCTGCGTGCACAAGGCAGGTAGAAGGAGCATGTCGGTAAGGACCTGCTGCAGACAGCTGAACACCACGCCAGGGAAGTGCTGATAATAGAATGCGACGTTCTTCCTGACTCCCTCCTCCACCTCCACCTCTTCCTCCTTTTCCTCCTCTTCCTCCTCCTCGTCGCTCACCCTTCCCCCCCGTCGTGCGGTCATACGGGCTGGCGAGGGGGCGAAGTGCGAAGGCAAGAAAGCCCTGCCGCTCAAAGCTCAGACGCTCGCCGCCTGCAAGCTGGAGGACTCTGAGGCCAGCCGGCTTTCCACGAACATGTTTTTTCTTCTTGGGGCAAATCGGGTGTTATAGCTCTCGGCGCCGCCCCCCCTCTCTCCCCTATATCGCAACGCCACCCCCCAATGCGCCCTGGGCACTGCCGCCGTGCGCATCGGGATCTACATAGGCGTCCGCATAGGAATCCGAATAGGGGTCTGGTCCGCAGTCGTCGTCGTCGTCGTGTTCGTCGTCGTCGTCGTCGTCGTCGTCGTCGTCGTCGAGAGCGTGGTCGTGGTCGTCGTCGATGTCGCTCGTCGCTCGTCGCTCGTCGCTCATCGTCGTCGTGCGCGCGGACGCGGCTGGAGCCTCTTTTGTTGCATAGTTTTGTTTATTTTCGGCCGGTGACGGCCGTCATCTGGAGGGAGGGGTTCGATGACGTCACGTTTCGCGCCAGCGGCGTCCAGGAATGCCCAGGAATGACCGAGGACGGGTAGGAACAGCATGTAGGTGGCGATCTGAACCACAGCGCCTGTGTACACCACAGTGCCTGCGTGCACCTGCGTCCACGAGGCTCCAGCAGAATTGGCCACGAAAGAGTGACCGCACTAAATGTCCCCGAAAGCTGATGCTTGTGCTGTGCTGCCTCTTCGAGCGGCTGGCCGCTGGAAGGCGTGCGGTGTCGGACACGACAATCATCTGCCATGCTCCGAAACCTTGGAACAAGCACTGTTGACCTGTCAATGGGGGCTGGTTTCCGCCGCCTTCCGCAAGCCTTCCGCTGGGAATTTCCGCCGTTGTCCGCTTGGAGGGCCGTGCCACTTAGGCGACTTGCAACCTAGATGTAGCTGGGTGCAACTTACTTATAGCACGGGGAAAAGTGCCGCAAGTCTTCTCAGTGTTGGTAACTGTTCTAAGTGTTGCTCTTGTGGTGAAAATATGGTTGCGCTACGTATGAGTAGTTCAGTTTTTAGCCGATCGGGGTAAGTTACTTCTGAGTAAGGGTACATTAACCAAACTTAAAAGTCCATAAATGTAAGCACCCTCCCTGCCTCTCTACAACCCGTTCGGCCGAAAGATGCGTTTCGCGAGAACCACCCTTCCCTCCAAACCCGTCTCCCTGGCCTGACCCCGCTTAGTCCGACTCCCATGACACAGTCTATGTGAACCCATGGCGGAATGGATGTCGCAACGCATGGCGCAGCCAATGGATGGCGCGGCCATGGCGCAGCCAATTGCTCAACGTATGTTGTTTCTGCACGACTGTGCCAAAGCTTACCTCGGAGAGGGCGGCCTCAGCTGCAGAGAAGTAGAAGTAGGAGGAGGGGAGAAAGAGGGCGCGGAGGACGACGACGACGACGATACCGATGCCGAGAAGCAGGCTGACGGGGCCCACAATGGTTGGCCCTCTCGGTTGCACGGGCGTGTGCCCGATGTGTGCTCACCGTTTGGGCTGGCGCTAGGCCAAAAGATGATTTGTCTTGTGATCATCGCTGCCACCACCCGTAATAAACTTCATCCGTCCTCACCACCACCTCATTCGACTCCCTTCACTCCGTCCGTCTTCCCTCCTTCCTTCCTTGTCCCTTCTCTTCGCAAGGCCAATTCCCCCCTTCCCTGATGTCCTGCCTGTGCCTCCATTATCATGCCCCTCCCCCCTCCCCCTCCCCCTCCATCCCCTCTCGTCCCCCGCCCCTCTCCCTCCTGCTTTCCTCACTCCTCCCTCCATCCTCTCCCGCCCTCCCAACGCCCTCCCTCCTTCCGCGTTCCCTCCCACACTCTCGCTTTCTTCGAAATCCTCCGCCCCCATCCCCCCCCCCATCCCTCCCTCCTTCCCGCTCCTGCGTCGCTCTCCCATCCCCCCTCCTCGTTCCCAATCCTGCCGCCACCCACCATCCCCCAATTCTCTTCTCCATTCCGCTTCGTCCCTTCACGTCATTCTTCTCCTCCTCCCCGCGATGACGGTCGCCGGGGCGCGCTCATGAGGGTGGGGCGGCTGTGATCACGTTCGTGCGGTCCCTTCGGACAGACAGACAGACAGACAGACAGACAGACAGACGCCATGCACAACATAGGTGCGTTGGCAGAAGATGTGAGACATACGAGACAATTGGGCGAAACGGCAAGCGTGCTAAGCATAGGAGGAGGGATGAGGAGGAGGAGGAGGAGAAGGAGGAGGAGGAGGAGGAAAAAAGGCGAGGGTGGAGAGGATGAAATGTGTGAGGACGATGTCGGGGACAGCGAATGCGATCGCAAGAAAGCTATCAACATTAAGTTGTTACTCTCATCAAATAGCCTGCGCAGCGCAGGTCGCAACCATCACCACCTGAAAAATCAGAAATGGTCCAAACATGCTCAAGCATGTTAAACATAGTGAAGAAATAGCCCCGAGACTATTATCTACCATTTTCGAGTTTCCTCCTGTAGAGGAACATGCCCGACTTAAGCCTATAGGAATTGCGGCAAGCGGGGACGCTCTCGCCACTCCTGACTCGCCGATGCATCGCCGATGCATCGGCGATGCGGCGCGATCCTCCGACCCCGTCTACTCCGACCCCATGTAGGAGGCCGAGATATTCGGCGGTGGACAAACCTCCCTTTAGTAGACCTCCCCTTAGGAAATCGGCCTGGGACCGAAACCGACGGACCTGGACCCGCAAAAATGACGGCCGCGACGCCCTCTCGCGAACTGAAAACGGCCAATTCCATAATCGACGTGTCAGGGTAGGAGGTCTGTCCACCCCCGAGGTATAGGCAAGCCAGGGCGCTTTCGCCACTGCTTGCCTCGAGGGGGGGCGCGGCGGCGCCTGCGAACTCCCCCGATGCCAGCAGGGCCTCGCCCGGCCGCGGCGCTGGCCGCTGCGCCTGTGGCGGCGGGTGCCGCAGGAGGAGGAGGAGGAGGAGAAGAAGGAGGAGGAGGAGGAGGCGGAGGAGGAGGAGTAGGACGAGGAGGAGGAGGAGGAGGAGGAGGAGGAGGAGGAGGAGGAGGAGGGTTTCGGCTCGGGGAGGAGGAGGAGGACGAGGAGGAGGAGGAGGAGGAGCCTCTGCCGCCCCCGCGGGGTCTTCTGGCCTCGCCCCCCCCCCCCGCCTCTTCTCGGAGCCCTGCTCTCGGAGCACCTCGCCCGACGACCATGCCGCCTCCCCCCCAAAAAAACATGTCGCCCCCGGGACCGGGGGCGATTGGCTCCAGCAGGAAGGCCATGGGGCAACGATAGGGGGAGGGACCGGCATGGAGGGGGATGTGCACGCGTCGGCCTGGAATCGGCGGCACGTCGCCGAGAGGCCCCCGATGGCCAATCCGCACCTTCCTGTGCAGGTTGGGGCTCTCGGGCACCTATCTTCGATCCATGGGCGATTGGGGGTCGATGCCTATCCCCCCCCTACTTTGCATATCCCCCCCCCTGTCGTTGCCCCCGATCGGAGCGCTGCTCGCCATCGCTCGGACGTCGCTGCACCGTGCATTTTGTTTCGGCCTCGTGCGCTCATGTTTCGCAAGATGTGGCTCCAGAATAGGGGAACGAATAATGGCATAAACGTACAAAAACTCGGAGGTCCGCGCGGATTTCTCGGATCGGCCTTGGACCCCCCTCCCTGGCGACAGGAGCGGACCAGGGGCGGCGCCGGAGGCGCCGCCAGGGCGGTCCAGCGCGGATCTGAGAAAATCCGCGCGGACCTCCGAATTTGTATGTTCATGTAATTCTTCGTTCCCCTACGGAAAGAAGGAACGCCGCGCGAAAAAATCGCGACGGGAATTTTGTCGATACTTATTCGCCCTCTGGATCGCGTCAAAAAACGACGCGGTATGACAAACCGGTTCCTGAGAAGGAGGCTGCTTCTGAGAAGGGGCGGGCCATGCATCGACAGACTGGGCCCGCGCCTCCTAAGAAGCAGGGGTGCCTCTAAGAAGCTCTCCCCCCCCCTCTCCCTACCCCCCTCTGCGCGTGGCCGAGAAGCGGTCCAGATCGCTCGGGCCCGACGCCGCGCAGAAATCACGACGGCGGGGGTCTGGGGACGCTGCTCGCCATCGCTCGGACGGCGATGCCCCGTGCGATGTTCGGCTCCGTGCGGTCCCCCTCTCGCGCAGGGGGCTCCGGGAGGCCCTTCGGGGGCCCCCGCCGAGAGACAGGATGCACGCGTCTGTAAAGGGGCCCCAGAACGCACGAGTAAACACACACGAATCAGAAGATTCCCCATATGTTCCCATGTTTTCAGGGGTTCCGTCTTCCCCCCCACTCCCCATATGTTCGCACATGTCTTGGGGATCGACGATGAATTGTGTCTGTGTGGTTTTGCCCCTCCTGCGTCTGGGCGACGTCGAGAGGCCGAGCACGGGCGGGGCCTGCGGCCAGCCCGTGCCGTGTGAGGAGGCGCGGCGGGGCTGCACAGGGGCCTCGGAGGCCCGTGGCTGCGCTTTTTCGAGCGAGGCTGGCCAGCGAGAGCCGCTCGTGATGGGCCGAAGGGGCAGGGATGCAGGGGTACTCCAGATTTCGTAACAAAGGGACCTCCTCCTCCTCCTCCTCCTCCTCCTCCTCCTCCTCCTGCTCCTCCTCCTTCTCCTCCTCCTTCTCCTCCTCCTCCTCCTCCTCCTCCTTCTCCTCCTCCTCCTCCTCCTCCGCCTCCTCCTCCTCCTCCGCTTCCTCCCCCCACTCCTAGCCCTTTCGATCAGGGTCGGCGGCACCGGCCGTCAGGCCTCTCCAATAAAGGGAGGGGGGTCTCATTTCGGGGGGGGGGGTCTATTCCAGGCTATCTTGGAGGGCCTGGGGGGGCCGGGGACGATGTTTTGGAGGGTTCTCCCACGGGGGGAGGTCTGAAATGGCTTGTCTTGGAGGGTCCAGACCCCCTCCCCTTATTACCAAATCTGGGGTACCCTTGGGACGGCTGCGCATCCTGAACTGTGCGGGTTGACTGCAAAGCCCCGGCGAGGCATCGCCAATACGTACACAGATTAGCGGCAGGCCCACGACGAGGAAGCGGCAGCGCCCAGGACCTGACCGGCGATGCATGGGCGGTTGGGGGGGTCGATGAAACAAAGACTCGATAAAAACAAGGACTTGTAAGTTCTGGGTTGTCGCGTAGATATGTCATCCCCGAGGCGGGGCAGAGATCGAGGGTCGAGAAGCGAGGAGTGACGTTCACCTGTGTTGGGTGCTCGTTGTGACTAGGCTACGGTGGTAACCTCTGCCTCTCCTGCTACTCCCGCCTCCCTCCTCCTCTGCCCTCCTGCCTCGCACCTGCCCTATCCCCCCCCCCGATCGTTGCCCCACGACGGCTGCCGAACACTGGTGGGGATGGTCCGAAGTCTCGAAGCCTGCGAGACAAGCTGCAAAGGCAAGCAAGCCGCTGCGAGGATGCCTCACAGGCAGCCGTAGGAGTGCGGTTGCCTACTTCCACTGGCCGGCTTCTGCTGTGGCTATCCTTTTAGCAGTGGGTTTCTGTCGCTTGCCATCGCTCGGACGTGCGTTCACGTGCATTTGCTGATGATATTGCGTGTTGTTTTCTGCTCGATGATCAAAGATGCTCCTCAATGGGCCTCGCCGAGAAAAACGCGCACGTCCGAGCGATCACAAGGCCGCTCAGGAATGCCAGCCCAGACATCAAGAACTGCAGAGACCAGCGACGAGGCACCCGAGGAGAGACCCTGCTGTTTTTGCAGTCTCTCTCCTGCCCAGGTGATGCGTGAGCCGCCGTACCTCGTATGGCCAGCTAGTAGCCATAGAATTGCCCTCCTGTCCTGTGGCGACTCGCAGGAGTGCCCTCCTGTCCTGTGGCGTGATTCGCGGGAAATGCCCGCAGGATTCATGTTCCCCGATCTCGAAGGCCTGCTTCTGCAGTACAGCTTACTGGCACTGCGCCTCCGCGGTGGTGCAGCTACCTCACGCGCAGGCTTCGAAGATTCAAGAATCGCAGGCGCCGAAGGTGCAGGCGTGCGTGGTTCTCTGCTCTGGCTCGGAGTCTTCGGAGGCCCTCTCCTGCATCGCTGCGCTGGAATTGTCGACCATACCTGCTGGCGACTGGCCATACGGAGGAAGCACCTTTTCACACATATGTTTATATATATATATAAAAATGTATGTGTATATATATATGTAAACACAAACAAATCAGAGAATACCGAGCACGCGCCGAGTCGAAACCACGGGGTCCAGACGCTGGTGCCTCTCAAGATGGCCAAACCACTGCGCAACACAAGCCCCCTCCCGTCACCAACCCCACGGCGCGGCCGGGATGTCGCATCGGACTGGCATGCGCTCTGGATCGGGCCGAACTGACGCGAGGCCAGGGTCTACTTCCTCGGATCGGCCGCACCAGGATGCACGGCATAGCAGAAGAAAAACGCCACGAACAGAAACTGCTGGACTTCTTGGAGCTGCGCTGGCCCCCCCCGCCCTGGCGGGCGGAGCGCGCCAGCATGGCGGCGCCGGAGGCGCCGCCAGGGGTGGGCCCCAGCGCGGATGCGAGAAACCCGCGCGGAGCGCCAAAAGTTTCTGTTCATAGCGATTATCCTTTTTCTTCTTCGACAGCAGCGCCACGCAGGCATCCAGGCCTCGGAACAAATTGGCGAACACTCACGATGCCACCTTCGTCTGTCAACGGCTCCCCCTCCCCCCAGTGTTCAAAAAATTGGCGGTGGGTCTGGTGAGATGCACTTCGACCGCAGTCTCCCCCGCGCGTGCCACCGTTGAGGTTGGGGGAGGGGGGTGTTCAGTAAATGTTTCCCTCTACACCCTGCGAAATGCTTAAGAAATCATGGGTTAAGAAATTCATGGTCTCAGAACTTGAATAAAACCCAACAGTTCTTTTACAATCTTAGGATTTACATTGGAACATTAAGAATAATCGAGACTCTGGACGAAAACTTAGGTTTTCTTAAGCATCGCCTAAGGTGTACCGTCCGTCCGCGCCGCATCGCCAGAACATCGGAGGAGCGAGATCGGCTCGAGCGCCCGCGGGCTCGAGGAGCGGACGGGGGGCACTGGCACGCCGCTGCGCGGCTCCAGGAGGAGGAGGAGGAGGAGGAGGAGGAGGAGGAGGGGGAGGGAGGGGAGGAGGGAGGAGGGAGGAAGAGGGAGGAGGAGAGGAGGAGGAGAGGAGGACGAGGAGGGGAGAAGGAGAAGGAGGAGGAAGAAGAGAGAGGAAGAAGGGAGGAGGAAGGAGGAGGGAGGAGAGGAGGAGGAGGAGGAGCAGGAGAAGGAGGGAGGAGGAAGGAGGAGGAGGGAGGAGGCAGGAGGAGGAGGCAGGAGGAGGAGGAGGAAGAGGAGGAACGGGAATAGAAACCCCTGCGGAAGGGGGGGGCCCGCGGCACACACGGCACCGACACCCCCCCCTTCCTCGAGGCGCGCCGGGCGCCTCCTGCCGGGCGCGGAGCCCACGGTTGGGAGGGCGCCGCGGGTGGGGGGCAGGACCCCTCGGGGTCCATTCTCGATCCGCTCGATGTATGTTGTTCCCATCCTACTTACGGCCCACATCCCAGAAAAATAATTTCGAGCACCCCGGAAAGTGTCAAAAGAATGTCGAAACAGTGTCGAAACAATGTCGGGCGAGTGTCTCCCAGGGCCCGACACGGGAAAACCCTCGAGTTTCGTTACTTTCTGGGGCGCTCGACCTTCTTCCTGGTGGTCGAGGCTCAAGGAGGTTGGAGCATCAGAACGCTCGATGCGACTCGGTACGGCAGGTTCGTGTCGTGACGTCCCCACCCTTGCTTCCTGACACTGCGGGGAGCGCTCAACCTCGAGCGATCGGCCGCTGCAGATACGCCGAAACGCTCAACGATGGGCCGATCCTGGCCCACGAGCGGCGTCCAACCTCAGACGCCCGCGCTGGGGTCGCCGCCGGTCCACACGACGCGAACCTACCGTAGGTCGCTGGCCACCTCCTCCTCCTCCTCCTCCTCCTCCTCCTCCTCCTCCTCCTCCTCCTCCTCCTCTCCTCCTCTCCTCCTCTTTTCCTCCTCCTCCTCCTCCGCCTCCTCCTCCTCCTCCTCCTCCGCCTCCTCCTCCTCCTCCTCCTCCTCCTCCTCCTCCTCCTCCTCCTCCTCCTCCTCCTCCTCCCCTCCTCCTCCAGCCCGATCGAACAACTCCTACGCTCCGACGATCCGAGGCGGCCCGACGGCCGCACGGCGCAACTGTGCCTCCCGACGCGGCCCAGCCGATCCGCTTCCGACTCCGTGCCGGCGCGGCCGATCCGATCCGACTTTCCACTTCGATGCCTGCACTCGCCATCACTCGGACGTCCATTCCCTGTGCTCTTTTCGGTTTCGTGCGTGGTTTGTTCGGCAAATGGTCAAGGATGCTCCTCGATGGTCCTCGCCGAAGGAAGAATGCACACGTCCGAGCGATGCCAAATGCATGGCGCTGATGTGCTTCCTGGCGCGGCCGATCCGATCCGATCCGATCCCGAATCCGCGGCCGATCCGACCCGATCCGACCCGATCCGACACGACGTCCCGATCCGGTGCTGACTGATCCTTCTGCGGCAACTCGTAAGAGCCTCCCGTGCAGCCGACGCTATCTGACGCCAGTTGACGCTAGATCCGCGCGTCCCCATCGATTACCGACGCTAGCGCGCATTAGTAAACTCTAAAGACGGAATTGCGAGAACAAGTAAGGCTCCCATGAGGTGCTACCGAATGCTCCTGCCCCTGGGCTGAGGGGTCACGATAGGGGGGGACCGGCATACGGAGGGGAACATCGACCTGGCGCCGATACATCGGCGATAGGTCCCCGATGATGAATCCGCACGTTCTTCAGCAAGCTGGGGCTATTGGGCCCTTATCGGCGATCAGTGGGCCATCGGGGGTTGATGCATCGCCGCCTACAGGCATATCCCCTGACTCGGGCCTCCGGCGGCCGTTGGGAACGATTCCAGCATCCCCTGGACCGCCCTCTGCGAGGCGCAGCTGCTGGAACGCATCCCGAGGCTGAAAAGCCGCCGCGAACCAACGGAACCTCGAATCGAAAACGACCGAGAGCCATTGCACATTCCCCCTATCCTTAGGTCGGGCATGTCCTCACGCAGGCGGATTCTGAAGGGAAAAACAAAACGCAGCCCGAACATATTCAAAAACAGTCGAAACCTCGTCCCCAGACTATTAGTTTGGCATTCTTGCATATCCCTCCGGTGGAGGGGCATGCCCGGCCCGACGCAACCCTATCGCTGCCCCCAGTGGGCAATGGGGGCGCGGCAAGGCGGCAGGAGGCGCCCAAGGCGGCCTGCACCGCGCTCCCCGCCAGCCCGCCGCCGGGCAGGCCTGCCCCGCGCTTGTGCTCGGGGTGCAGGAACCTGGCGCGCCGGCGCCGCCCGATCGCTCGGACAGCAGTTGGGACCACCAGCGGGGGGGGCCAGGGGGGTCCTCCTGGCGGTGTGCCCCCCCCCCCCGCTCGCTCGAGGCAGCCCCCATGCCCAGCCTGGAGGTGGCCCCCTCTGGTGGTGGTGGTGGTGGTGGTGGTGGTGGTGGTGGGGGGTGGTGGTGGTGGTGGTGGTGGTGGTGGTGGTGGTGGTGGTGGTGGTGGTGGTGATGGTGGTGGTGGTGGTGAAATTGGTGGGTGGTGTGGTGGTGGTGGTGGTGGTGGTGGTGGTGGGTTGGTGGGTTGTTGATGGTGGGTGGTGGTGGTGGTGGTGGTTGGTGGTGGTGGTGAGAGTGGCGGTGGTGGTGGTGGGTTGTGGTGGTGGTGGGTGGTGGGTGGGGTGGCGGGTGGCGGTGGGGTGGCGGTGGCGGTGGCGGTGGCGGTGGGTGGCGGTGGCGGTGGCGGTGGTGGTGGTGGTCGGTGGTCGGTGGTGGTGTGGTGGTGGGTGGGGTGGTGGCGGTGGGCGGTGGGGGTGGTGGGTGGTGGGTGTGGTGGGGTGGGGTGGTGGTGGTGGTGGTGGTGGTGGTGGTGGAGGTGGTGGTGGTGGTGGTGGTGGTGGTGGTGGTGTGGTGGTGGTGGTGGTGGGTGGTGGTGGTGGTGGGTGGTGGTGGTGGTGTGGTGGTGGTGGTGGTGGTGGTGGTGGTGTGTGGTGGTGGTGGTGGTGGTGGTGGTGGTGGTGGGTGGTGGTGGTGGTGGTGGTGGGGTGGTGAGGGTGGTGGTGGTGGTGGTGGTGGTGGTGGTGGTGGTGGTGGTGGTGTGGTGGTGGTGGTGGTGGTGGTGGTGGTCGTGGTGGTGGTGGTGGTGGTGGTGGTGGTGAGGGTGGTGGTGGGTGGTGGTGTCGTTCCTCTTTCCCCCCAGAGATGGGCGGCTGTGTTTCCGCCGTCCTGATGGGCTTCTACCAGCTCAAGGGGAGGTCTGCGGGGGCGGTGACTCCGCAGTCCCAGCAGATTTTTGCCAGCTCGGAGCGGGAAGAGGGTACGGGGGCGGCACCTCTGAGGTCCCGCGGGGATTGTCAGCTCGGGGGGCGGGGGGCAACAATCCACCGCTGTCCAGCAGATCTGCCACATCGAAGGGCAGGGCTGGAGACGGGCGCCAGCACCAGCCCCTCCACCTCAAAGCCAGCCCTACCCAGCCTCGGTGGCGCGGCGCCCTGGTGGACCGAGAGCATGGCGAGATCTCCAGTCCTCCTGTTGCGAGCTGGGAGCTGCGGACTCTGACCTTCCTCCGAGGGGCTGCGGGCCCCTCCTATGGCGGGAGTCCTTGTCCTCCTCCTCCTCCTGCTCCTCCTCCTCCTCCTCCTCGTCCTCCTCCTCCTCCACCCCCTCCTCCCCCTCCTCCTCCTCCTCCTCGTCCTCCTCGTCCTCCTCCTCCTCCTCCTCCTCCTCCTCCTCCTCCTCCTCCTCCTCCTCCCCCTCCTCACGTGGGAAGCGCCATCGGGCGCCCAGCCGCCGCAGCGCGGGCGCTGGCGCCCCACGGGCGCCAGACAAGCGCGGCCGCGGGCCTGTTTTCCACCAAAACCGCCATAAGTTGGAGGGGGGAAGCGGAGGATGAGGAGGAAGAACAGAACCCCCTTCCCTCCTACTGTGGTGGTGGCGGAAGAAAACAACCTCATCAGCCCGCACACGGAGATCCACAGCGGGAGGATCGGGTCGGGCGAAAGGGGGGGATAGCAAAGAAGGGTTTGAGAATCAGCTCACGTAGCTGATTTTCCCGGCGCATCCCGGCGCCGGAGGCGGCTATGTATCGAGGAATGGGCCCCTCGGTGAGGCCGAAACCAGCTGCATGCAGCAAATTTCGTAACCCCCCCTTTCCCAATCCCCCCCTTTCGTCCAGCCCGAGAGGAAGAGGGAGGAGGAGACCGTGCCCTGATCACAGACGTCGGGAGGAAGAGGACCAGGAAGCAGGAGCGGCCTCGTAGCAGCGACAGCGCACGGCCCGTGGCCGCGAGCCACGAGCCAGCCCGCGAGAGGAAGCCCCTGGGGAGTGGCCCGGTGCGCAGCAGCAAGTCGAGACAGAGCCAGGGAAGGACAGGGATGGCGGCGAAGAGGTACAGGGCAGTTTTTAATACATGGGATTTCGAACAATATGTGATTTTAAATGCATGATCACTTTAGTACAAAATCCCTGCATTTTTAATACATGATCCGCACGCGGAGCGTGTATTAAAAACGGCACTGTATGGGGGGTACGACTGGGCCGGAGGCGTGGGGGGGGCAGCGGGCAGCGCTCGCCTGCTGCTGGTGCCCCCGCGCCCTCCCCGCCTCCTCTGCTTGCTATAGATCGCGCTCGCTCTCCGGCACCGCAGGAGGGTAATACGTTCGAGGGGAAGGAGGAGAAGGAGGACGGGGAGGAGGACGATGGCATCCAGAGGGACTTGCAGGTCATCGTGGGGGGGTTCCAGCGGGACACTGATGCGGAAGACATCGTTTCGGCCATCGAGGATTTCCTGAAGGTGGATTCGAGGCGCCACAAAGTCCAAAAGGTTTCTACTTTCAGCGACCCCTCCAGCGTCGGTTGCATTCAATTCGATTCGGTCGCTGCGAAAATCGGCTTCTACAGGAAAATCAGAGATGCACAGAAAACGACGACTGATGGGGTTGATTTGTGGTTTACGAACAACAAGACATTTGAGGAGCGCATCCGGGACAAAACCCTAGGACTCATCAAACACCACGTCATAAACGACCAGGGCCAGGCCAGAGAGAATGTCACCATCAATTGGAAGAAGGGCACGGTCAGCGTGAACTCCAAGAAGGTCGCCTGGGTGAACGACGCGTCCGGCATGATTCTGGAGGGCGTGGCGGAGAGCGTGAAGGAGCTCGTGGAGTCCGACATCAAATCATGGAAGAAAAAGCGAGAGAGGACCACGAGGTCCCAGGAGTAGGGGCAGAGAGACAGCGTACCCCATAGTACCCGTACAAGGAAATCGTCATCAACAAGGTCTTGTCGTTCTTGCAGCATGTCTCTTACAAGTATCACTTACAACATACATTATTTCATGATGCTCGAGCAAAGGCTTGAGGCGTTGTTCTGCGAGCTCAAAGGTCGAAGTTGGGATGTCATCGTCTTCACAGAGACGTGGCGCGAAGAGACCAAGGAGGTGTTCACCACGGAGGGCGGCCACATGTGGTTCGGGAGCGGCGGAAGCAAAGGAAAGAACGGTGTCGGCATATTGGTAAACAAGAAATGGAGTTACACATCTTGCAGTGCAGTTTGTGACCGTGTTGCAGTTTTGGATCTGGTCGTAAACGATATGATTATCAGAGTTTTTGGTGTATACATGCCACACTCACGGATTGAAGATGCTTATGTGGAAGCTGTATATTCGATATTGGATGGTTTCCTATGCCCAACTGTTGCACGAAACCCACATGTTTGGTTGCCGGGGACTTCAACGCAGAAGTGGGCCCATGCTTGGGAGAAGGCGAACAGGACATCATCGGTCCGAACCCGCGCGCGGGGAGGGGCTGATACATTTCTGTATCCTCCACGGCTTTATGTTGGCCAATACATTCGATCCCGCGGAAGCAGATGGATTGTGGACGTACTCGAATCAGAATTTCAAAAAAGCAGCTGGATTATATCTTATTAGATTCCAGGATGGCTTCTGATATGGTTTTCTGCAGGGTGTGCCAATGGTTGGACACCGGCTCTGACCACAGACCCGTCGAGCTACGCATTTCTGTGCGCCCGCCGGAGACAGTTCTCGCGCGGAAGAGGCATTGCACTTGGAGTTCGGCAGTTGATGCCAAATTGTACGGCGAGACTTTGGATGCGAAGTTCGAGCGTGAGCGGACAAGAGGAATCACATCTTCTGAGAAAGCGGAACAGATGGAAAGATGCATGGTGAGCGCGCTGGGGGAAGTCCTTCCTGTACCGGCCAGGGCGCGGACGTCCAACGACACTCACAAGGAGCTCAAGTCTTTGATTGCCGAGCGGCGAGGCCTGCGGAGAAGGGAGGACTTGAACGCTGAAGGGAAGAAGAAACGACGGCTGGAGATAAGCAAGAGCATCAAGAAACTCATTCAACGCAGGCTGAAAGAAACGCGGGAGGCACGCATCGGCAGAATTCTGACAGACTTCCGAGGCATATCGGGGCTCGCTGGGGTGGGAGGGCCCGTGAAGAAACATCACATCGCAGCCATCACAGATGGCGCTGGCGTTCAGCACGTAGATCGAAGCAGTATTTCAGGTGTTCGCTTGCTTTTACGAGAAGCTCTACACCGGCAGGAGCAGTGCAAGGAACACTCACAACTCTGCTGCAGAAGCAATTCCGCCTTCTCACTCTGGAGGAATTAGACGAGGCATTAAAAGCTTTAAAATGTGGCAAATGCAAAGACGAGTCTGGAGTGGTTGCGGAAATTCTGAAGGCGTCCAGTGCCATTTTCCGCCATGCTGTTCTCGATTTGTTCAACGACGTGACGCAGCCAGGTGCGGCGCTGCCGGAAACGTGGACGAGAACGCGGCTTGTTGTATTATTAAAAAAAGGAGACCCTTTACTTCCAAAAAACTATAGACCCATAGCTATATCGCCAATCCTGTACAAATTGTTTGCCCGGGCGTTGTGCGACAGACTCCAACCAGCAATTGTTTCTGCGCAGAGCCCGGACCAGGCGGCATACCGGAAGGGGTATTCGACAATTAACCATTTACTCACACTCACGCTACTCGCTGAAGGATGTGAGGAGTGGAACCAATCGCTGTGGATAGCTCTCGTGGAGTTTGAAAAGGCGTTCGATACTGTAGAACACTCTGCGCTGTGGGAGGTACTTCGTGTATTAGGCGTAGACGCCACTTATATTTCTTTGGTGCAGAAGCTGTACTGCCATCAGGCAGCCACGGTCGTGGCGGGAGAAGAGTCGAGGAGATTCGATTTATCTCGCGGTGTGAAACAAGGAGACCCGATATCTGCATTGTTGTTCATAGCTGTGATGGAAGTATGCTTTCGTGCACTCAAGAAGAGATAGCACGGGCTAAATCAGCGCAGGACTGGACCGTATTATGGTTTTGTCATTGACTCTGTGGATGACCCGCTGACGAATGTACGGTTTGCAGACGACGTCCTTTTACTGGCGAGCAGCAAATCAGACGTTGTGAAAATGCTCAGGGACTTGACTAAGGAGGCTTCCCGGTATGGACTTGTTGTTCACTTCGGGAAAACAAAGATTCTTACACATTCTGCTGACACTTGTTCACTGACAGTGCAAGTGTCTGGAGAGGATGTCGCTATTTTACAGCCAGGTGAATCGGAACGGTATTTGGGAATTGAGCTGTCTCTTTATGATTTTCACGACAATGAACTCACACATCGATTGTCGTCTGCTTGGAGGGCATTCGCCAAGTTCAAGCACGTTCTATGTTCTCGGTCGTACCCGCTGAGGAAGCGCTTGCGGCTGTTCGACAGCGTCGTGAGCCCGGTCGCGTTGTATGCGTGTGAATGCTGGACGCTGGATGCTACGTCCAGAAACAGACTCAGAGTCGCGTGGAGAAAGATGCTCCGGAGCATGTTTCGCACGGCCAGGGCCGCGGACGAAACGTACGTGGAGTACATCAAGCGCTCGACCAGGAGGATAGAGGAGTATTGTTCCAATTTTCGCATCAGAAACTGGGTGTCCATCCAACGCACTCGCAAATCTGCGTTCGCAGCCCGCGTCTTCTTCGACGCCGGGAACAAGTGGAGCAAACGACTGTTGCTCTGGACGCCGTGGTTCCGGACGGAAGCCAAACGATCTCAAGGGCGACCTCGTCTGAGATGGAGAGATTCGTTGGATGCGTGAGCGGCCTTTCAGGCGCGCGTTTCACTTGATGCATTTTCCTAATTGCCATGCGCGCGTCTGCCCCTCAGGGGACCGCTCCGGCTACCGGAGCCGGCACGCAGACTTCCTGTCCTGTCCTGTCTCCGGCACCGCAGGGATGGCGTGGGCGCTGTCGGGAGCGCCCCCGACTGTGGCTCGCTGCAGTGCCTGGACGTCCTCCTCGCAATCCCGCTCCTGGTCCTTCCAGACGAGTTCGGTCGGGTCCAGCGGCGGCGACACGGGGGGGGGGGGCAGTGGCGACGCAGCCCGTGGGGCTAGGTGTGGGGGGGCCGCCGCGTGGGGGAATACCCGTCTTAGCTTTCTTTATCCGGGTAATGCCCGGGTCTGCCTCGGGTTGAGGCGCCCACGGGGGCAGGGGAGGAGCAGGTCCGTGGCGGCCAGGCCAGGAAGCAGTCGAGGAGCACGTCGAACATGCACGTCGGGGTCCTGCTCGTCGCTGCCGTTGCCACAGACCCCTTCCGTTCGTCTCGACACACTCTTCAGCCGGTTCCTCGTAGTCGCTGCTCACCTCCGCGCAGTCGCCACACACCTCCGCGTAGTCGTTGGCCACCCCCGAGTAGTCGTTGCTCCTCTCCGCGTTGCGTTCGTGGTCGGCGCAGCTCCACGCCACGTAGTCGTTGCTCACCTCTGCGTCGTAGCTCGCTGCCGCGCAGTCGTTGCTCTCCTCCGCGTCGCGCTGTTGGTCGGCAGAAACCTGGTGGTCGCCGTGCTGACGGCCGACGTTATCTAGGAGATTGTAGCTCTGGATATCTGAGGGAGGTGAGACCAGCCAGAGCCGGTTACGCCCTTCGACGCGCCCTCGTCCTCGTGTTGGTTCCCGTACTCGTCGGCGTCGCCATACTTGTCGTTGTGCTGATCACTGTCCTGGTCACCGTGCTGATCGTCGTACTGGTCGACGCACTGGTCACTGTAGTAGTCGCTGTACTGGCGGCCGCCCGCTCTACAACGACATGTGTGGCCTTTCCGGTGGGGCATTTGCACGCCACGGTCTGGACGTGCACCGCCGCATTCACCAACAGGGCGAGGTCATCCCAATCGGTCTGCGTGCCGCGCCTCGTCTGGTATCAGGCGCCGCGGCGCGCAGTGGCCTGTGTCGAATAGGATCCGAACGTGTCCCGTAGCCTTTAGAACTGTTTCATGTTGGTGTAGCTTGGGGAGACCAAAAGGTACCGACACCGCTACTCCCTGGACCTCTCCCGGGGTGCGTTCTGACCAGAACTTCGAGGCGCATCCAGCGGCGGCGACGAGGGCCTCCGAGGAGGCCCAATATGGGAAAACGGGCGGAGGGTAGCAGCATGGGTACCTTTTTCTCCTCTGAGTTTAACGGGCGAAGAACGGTATAACATTAACTTATTCGCTGCCGGGGGCGCCTGCCCCTGGGCGGCTGGAAAGTTTATCTCCTTACGGTGCCACTGTAGGGGTATAAACTTTCCAGCCGCCCAGGGGCAGGCGCCCCCGACAGCGAAAAAGTTTCTGTTACACCGTTCTTCGCCCTCTGATGAGTCACTGCCGCCGTCCGCCGCCGCCATTGATTGTCCAGGCACGGCGCCGCGCACCGCCCGCGGCCTCTCCGGCGGCCACGCGGCCACCAGCCGCGGCCGCGCACGGGAGCGGCGCCGCTGGCCCCACGGCAACAAAGAGAGAAACACGAAAATATCATCCGCCTCGCAGAGGGGCTACTGCGGCTACGCGTGCCGCACAGGTCCAGCCCCCTGGGGCGCACCGCTGTGCACGGGGGCGAGTGCGGGGGATGGGTCCCCGCATATGGCCCTCCTCCTCCTCATCCTCCTCCTCCTCGTGCACTCTCTCCCTCCCTCACGCCCGCCTCCCGCGTTGGTGCAAAGTGGCCAACCCCCCCTCCTCCTCCTCATCCTCCTCTTCTTCTTCTTCTTCTTCTTCTTCTTCTTCTTCTTCTTCTTCTTCTTCTTATTCGTCTTCTAATTATTCTTCTTCCTATTATTAATTATTTTTAGTAGTATATTATTATTAGTAATTTTATTATTATTCCTCCTCCTCCTCCTCCTCCTCCTCCTCCTCCTCCTCCTCCTCCCCCTCCTCCACCTCCTCCTCCTCCTCCACCTCCTCCTCGCGCGTGCCCCGTGGAGCGGCAACAGCGTGGATTGGCCTCTTGACTCGGTCAGCCAGTCTCGGGGATGGACAGACACCCCTTTAGTAACACGTGGTTTAGTGAACACGACCTGAGGCCCAAACCTGGCGGGCGCAAGCCTGGAAAATAACGGCCACGGCGCCATCTCGAGAACCGAAACCGGACAATTCACTAATCGACGTGTCACTGTTGGGGGTTCTGTCCACCCCCGACAGTCTAGCGGGTCTACACACAAAAAAAATCCCCCCCCCCTTCGCACGACCGAAACCGAAAGAGCACCGCATCCAGTACACCTGGAGGGCGAAACTGGATGCCAGCAGATCCGAGAAATCCGCGCGGGCCTACGAGTTTTTATGTTTATGTCACTGTTTGTTCCCCGATGCTGGGGCTGGGGGCACTCAGCATGGCGACTCTTAGATTGCATACCGTGAACTTGCAGGAGTTCCCGTACTTGCAGAAGCCCTTGTTCTTCCAGTGGCAGCAGACCTGTCACAGTCGAATTGCACACGGGAAATGGAGCGACGAGGCAGGATGGCCAGCGGCCTGGCTGGCTGCATCAAAATCGCAAAGCTGCCATGTGGTCACGACCGGCCTGCAAGTCACGCGACGTATACAGCCCGCAACCACACGGTCGCGGCGTTCCAAATTAAACGCCGCTGGCGAGGTCGCCGCCGGTCGACACGACACGAACCTATACCGTACCCGCGACGACAACTGGAGAGCGGCGACCGACGACGACGGGCACTGGGAGACGACGACGACGACGACGACGACGACAGCCAGCCAGAGAACCCACCCGTGCGGCACATGCTGGCACGTGCCGACAGCCAGCCCAACCACCACTCCCCAGAAAAAACCCACCCGTGCGGCACGTGCGGGCGCTGCTCCCCCGCGCGGGGTGCCGCCGACCATCGCGCTCCGCTCCACCGCGCGGGGCGCCGCCTCGCGGGGATCGCGTCGTCGACGGTCGTCGTGGTCGTCGTCATCTTCGTCGTCGTCGTTGGGTCGTCGGTCGCCGATCGTCGTCGTCGTCGTCGTCGTCGTCGTCGGTCTTCGTCGTCGTGGTCGTCTGTCGTCCGTCGTCGTCGTCGTCGTAATTATCGTTCGTCGATCGTCGGCCGTCGTCGTCGTCGTCGTCGTCGTCGGTCGTCAATCATCGGTCGTCGGAAGTCAGTCGTCGTCGTCGCTGTCGGTCGCCAGAAGCTGGTGTCCGGAAGCAGGTCGCTGGTCGTAGGTCGTTGACCGTCGATCGTCGGTCGTCGGTCGTCGTCGGTCGTCGTCGTCGTCAACGTCGGTCGTCGTCGTCGGTCGTCGTCGTCATCGTCGTCAGTCGTCGGTCGTCGGTCGTCATCGTCGTCATCGTCGGTCGCCAAATGCTGGTCGCCGGTCGCAGGTCGCTTGTAATCGGTCGTCGGTCGTCGTCGTGGGTCATCGGTCGACGTCGGTCGCCGCCGTCGTCGTCGTCGTCGTCGTCGTCGTCGGTCGTCAGTCGTCGTCGGTCGTCGGTCGTAGTCGTCATCGTCGGTCGTCGTCGTCGTCGTCGTCGGCGAAGGTCGGTTGTCGTTGTAGTCGTCGTCGTCGTCGTCGTCGGCGAAGGTCGGTTGTCGTTGTAGTCGTCGTCGTCGTCGTCGTCGTCGCCGTCGTCGGTCGTCGATCGTCGGTCGTCGTTGTCATCGATCGTCGGTCGTCGGTCGTCGGTCGTCGTCGTAGTCGTCGTAGTCGTCGTCACCAAGCCACGGACGCTGGTTGGCGATCGTCGGTCGCCAACCAGCGTCGGCAGTCGCCGGTTGGCGATCGTCGGTCGCCGGTCGTCGGTCGTGGGTGAAACGTCGCCGGTCGTTGGTCGTCGTTCGCCGGTCGTGGGGCGTCGTCGTGGTCGTCGTCGTCGGTAATCGTTTCCGTCGTCGGTCGTCGGTCGTCGTCGGTCGTCATGTGTCATCGTCGGTGGTCGTGGTCGTCGTCAGCGTCGTCGGTGGTCCGTCGTCGTCGTTCGTCGTCGTCGTCGGCCGTCGGTCGTTGGTCGTCCATCGTCGGTCGTCGGTCGTCTTCGTTGTCGTCGTCGTGGTGGTCGTCGTCGTCTTCGTTGTCGTCGTCGTCGGAAGCCGGAAGCTGGTCGCCGGTCGCCAGTCACCGGTCATCGGCCGTCGGTCGACGGTCGTCGGTAGTCCGTCGTTGGTCGTCGGTCGTTGGCCGTCGATCGTCGGTCGTCGGTCGTCGGTCGTCGTCGATCGTCGTCGTCATCGTCGTCGGATGTCGGAAGCTGGTCGACTGTCGCCAGTCGCCGGTCGTCGGTCGTCGGTCGACGGTCGTCGGTCGTCCGGTCGTCGGTCGTCGGTCGTCGGTGTCGTCGTCGTCGTCGTCGTCGTCGTCGTCGGTCGTCGATCGTCGGTCGTTGTAGTCGTCGTCGTCGTCGTCGAGGTTAACAGCGGCCGCTGTTGGGCGGGCGGCCTTCTGTCTCAAATAGACACAGGCCGCGGCGGCGCGGACAGCGAGTCCTGTTCAAAATGGACAGGCACTGCCGTTGGGCATCGTACCCAGTCTTTCCGTACCCATTTTGGGCGTCCAGATTTTGGAGCCCGAGCGTTCCTTCCCAATCCTTCGGCCCCCGCGGGGGCCGCCCGCGGGGGGGGGGCCGCGGCCGGGCCCGCCCTGGGCCCTCCAGCACACGGACCCGTGGAGGGCAGGGGGGCCCAGCATCGAGTCGAGGAGTCGAATCGGCGATCGCAAGGGAATCGGATCGGCGGACATCGGCAGCCGATGGGGGGCCCAAAGAGTATACACCACCACCACCTCCCTCCCCCCCTCCCTCTCGCTGGAAGGAGGAGGGAGGAGGGATCGAGGTGCTGGTGGTGTATATTCTTTCGGCCCCCAGCCGAGTCGGGAGAAGCCAAATCGATAGACATCGGCAGGCCAGTGAGCCTCCACTCAGAAATCGGGATCCAACATCGGAACCCGACGTCGCATCGAAGCGGCATCGGAACCCGTCGAGATCGAAGATGGAGTCGGAGCGGAGGCATCGAAGCGATGCCCTGTGAGGGGCGGAGCCGCATCGAACTTGGAGTGCAGCGCCCTTCTTCGGCTGGTGGGCACGCGTGTGCCGTGGTAGGGCGACGAAATCTATACATATCCACTGCTCCCTGGCCAGGCCCATCCTCAACCCCGCAGCGGTGTATACGCCACGCCCTCCTGGCTTGGCCAGGAGGGCGCACACACAGCTCCTGGGTTCAAGATGGGCATGGTCAGGAAGCAGTGGATATGTATAGATTTCGTCGCCCGACGTGGAGGCCCATGCCAAGGAGAGCACCCTGCTCGCCGCCGGGGCGCCCGTGGCCCGAGAGCCCCCGAGCCCCTCCCCAGCGGAATGTTCTGTGCCCGGCGTCCACCGTCGAGGGCCCTGGTCGGGGATGGACAGACCTCCCTTTGGTAAAACGTGGTTTAGTGAAAACGACCTCGGGCCCAAACCTGGCGGGCGCACGCCTGGAAAATGACGGCCGCGGCGCCCTCTCGAGAACCGGAAAAGGACAACTCACTAATCGACGTGTCAGGGTAGGAGGTCTGTCCACCCCCGACCTGGGGCCTGGCCGAGACTGGACCCCCAAGTGAAGGGGCCCAGGGACGCACACATAAATACACGCATAACAGGATGTCCCAAAATTTCCCATATATTTTCTGGGTTCTTGTCTTCCCCCCCACTTCCCATATTTTCCCATATGTTCGGGAAATCGACGATTAATTGTGTCTGTTTTTTTTTGTTCCCTCCTGACCAAGGCCGAGATCGGGGAAAGATGCCGGGATGTGCAGAAAGACATCGTCGGACGCCTGGGCCGTGGGGGCCCCCCAGAAGACACACACACACACACAATGGCGGCTTCGCGGTCGGTTGGTCCAACACAGCGAATGCAATAGCAGGCTGCGCTGAACTGACAGGACGTCCAACGACAAACGATGGAGGGATGCAGAGATATGGTGCCGAAGGCCGCGCACGTCTGAACGTGGCATGCGAAGAAACTGGGAGCGCAAACGCACACACACACCATCACCAACAACAACACCAACAACAGCAACGGCAACAACACAACAATCGCAACAACAACAACAACAACAACAACAACAACAACACCAACAACAACAACAACACCAACAACATCAACAACCACAGCAGCATCAGCAACAGCATCAGCAACAACAAGGACGACAACAATAACAACAGCAACAACAACAACGATAACAACAACGACAACAACAACAGCACCAACAGCAACAACGACAACAACAATGACAACAATAACAATAACGACCACAACGGCAACAAGCCACAACAACAGTGGCAGCAGCAACAACAGCAGCGTCAACACCAACCCCAACAACGACAACAACAACCACAACAACAACAACAATAACAACAACAACAACAACCACAACAACAACAACAACAACAACAACAACAACCACAACAACAACAACACCAACAACAACAACAATCATTTTACCCTCATGCGCCATGCTTCCACATGACACATGCATCCATCTGGATAACACACCCCATCATGGGGGATTTTTCTGGCATGCGGGATCCGATATTCCCTCACCCAGATATCCCGCCCAAGAAGGTTTGGCCACCACCTCTTCCGAGGAACTTCAACATCCATAGCTCGGACGGCACATCGCCTTCGCAATCGCCTTGCGCATGCCCCGCATCTCAGAAGGAGAGGAAGAGGAAGAGGAGGGGGAGATGAGAGAGATAGGGAGGGGGAGGAGGAGAAGGGAGGGGGAGGAGGGGGAGGAAGGATGAGTAGTTGTAGTAGCAGCAGTTGATGATATTGTTGTTGCGGCTGTAGCACTAGTAGTAGTGGTAACGGTAGTAGTAGTCCAAGTAAGTAGAACTGGCTTGTGGCAGCCAAGCGTTCATAGCGACGTTGCTTTTTGATCCTCCTTTAATGTCTTCTCTCCCTATCCTTGAGACGCAGAAGTCTCAAAAAGTTGGATGGTTCAGCACATCCAGGAAACCTATCGCTGGACCGGCCCAGATATGGTTCCAGAAGCGGCTCGGGAAGCTGCGCAGGCGCCAGAAGCAGAGAAGCACCACGTACGGGCGCCGGCTCGGGCGTCCGGCCCAAAGCCGCTCCAGAATCGGCCCAGGACGGCTTCCCGAGCGCCGCAAGCAGAACTTCAGCATTTTCGAAAGGAAAATGTGTATTGGAATGGCTTCTTTTCGGCGCGATCGGAACTGCCCGGGCGTCCGGCCTGGGAGCCGGGCCGGCCGGGCCGGGTGCCGGCCCGAGCTCCGGAATCGGCCCGGACGGTCTCCCTCCCGGGCGCCGGAAGCAGAAATTCAGCATTTTCGAAAGAAAAATGTGTATTGGAATGGCCTTTTTTCGGCGCCGCCTCGGAACTCGATTTTCCGGCGCCCGGGCGCCGGCTCGGGCGCCGACCCGGGCGTCCGGCCCGGGAGCCGGGCCGGGTGCCGGCCCAGGCTCCGGAATCGGCCCGGACGGCCTCCCGGGCGCCGGAAGCAGAAATTCAGCATTTTCGAAAGAAAAATGTGTATTGAAATGGCCTTTTTTCGGCGCCGCCTCGAAACTCGATTTTCTGGCGCCCGGGCGCCGGCTCGGGCGCCGACCCGGGCGTCCGGCCCGGGAGCCGGGCCGGGTGCCGGCCCGAGCTCCGGAATCGGCCCGGACGGCCTCCCGGGCGCCGGAAGCAGAAATTCAGCATTTTCGAAAGAAAAATGTGTATTGGAATGGCCTTTTTTCGGCGCCGCCTCGGAACTCGATTTTCCGGCGCCCGGGCGCCGGCTCGGGCGCCGACCCGGGCGTCCGGCCCGGGAGCCGCTCTCGGCGGCGAGCAAGAGCACCGAGCCCGAGTAAAAAAGGAGGAAGTCTCGAGCCGGAGCGTTGTTGTTGTTGGGGGGCCGGTTTTGGCGGAACCCCAAAACGCCTGAGCGTGAGCCTCAATTTCAGAGGAAATGCGGCCGGCGCCTCGGCGAGAGCGCCAGGGCGAATATAGGGGGTCCAACAATAATAATTGTTTAGTAATTAAGGTTCAACAACAACAACAACAACAACAACAACAACAACAACAACAACAACAACAACAACAACAACAACAGCAACAGCAACGGCAACAACAACCTTCGAAAGCGCACCGCAGTAGCAGACCGGAGATGGCATTGCAGAGGAGAGGCCCCCGCCGCCTTCCCGGAGCCGAGCTGGTGCTTCGCCAGCACCGCCCGCGTCCGCGCCGGCGCGGGCGCCGGCGCGGGCGCTGGCGCCACGGGCACGGGGGCCTGCTCGGGCGGCGGCGTTTGCGATGTGCGACGTCGGAACAGACCGCCCGGAATCATGATCCCTACTGCAACGACGGGGCCCTCAGTGAGGGCACGTCTTCATTATGTTATGAAGGTCAGGGTCCTGGTATCCTTGATGAGTCGGGGTGGGGTCCAGTCGAAACCACGGCGGCGTTCCATGGCAGGTTTCGTCCTTCTGGGCTTGGAGGCCTCGCGTTGCCCCGGCTGGACCCGCCTCGGAAGGGCAGAGCAGACCAGGGTGGACCCTGGGGAGCCCGGGACGGGTTCGGGAACCGACTTTGAACGCAGTTGGGCGTTGCTGGGGATCCGACGGCATCTCAATTGCCCTCCAGGAAAAAAGTCCCCCTCCCCCTCCTCCTCCCTCTCTCCTCCTCCTCCTCCTCCTCCTCCTCCTCCTCCTCCCTCCTCCTCCTCCTCCTCCTCCGCCTCCGCCTCCTCCTCCGCCTCCGCCTCCTTCTCCTCCTCCTCCTCCTCCTCGTTCTCCTCCTCCTCCTCCTCGTCCACCTCCTCCTCCTCCTCATCCTCCTCCTCGCCCTCCTCCTCCTGACATCTGACACCCGACACTGGTGGCTAGAAGGTCCGTCCGAACGCAGCCTTCCCCCTCAGGGCTGGTCGGCCCTGAGGGGGGCCGATCAAACGAATGCCAGGTCAGCCCCGGCGCACCGCTCCAAGGGTCGCTGGCTGGTATGTGCAATGCAAGAAGAGGAGGTCGACTGACAACGACAGGCAGCCGAGAGGAGGTCTGGTGGGGGAGGGCCTGAAGCCAGGCGCTGCATGATCTCAACCGAAGTCGGAAGCCTCCGAGTATGACTCGCCGTGTTCACGCGAGGGTCGAGTGGAGGCTTCCCGGACTTCCCCCCGGGGAGGTCTTTCTCCAAAGGCCGAACGAATCCAAAATTTGCTCACGCGGAGCGAAGCCCATCGCCCACACACTCATATATATATGTATATATATATATATATATATATATATATATATATATATTATATATATATGTATAACCCACCACACAATGCATCACTAGCGGCTGAGGCGGCGCGGTGATGCACCGCTGCGGCACCACGGTGGTGGAAGCGGTCAGCCAAAGCGTGGGGATGAGTAGGACGGGGTAGCCAGCTGCGGTCAGAGAGCCCAGGAAGCTGGCGCGGGGCGCACCCTGGTTATTGCCCGCCGCGGCCTTATCCAACGCCATGGTTGCCGAGGCTGGCGGCGTCTGGTTGCTGAGAGGGAAGCGAGAGGTAAGCTGCGAAAGCGATCACGATGGGATGGCCAGCGTTGAAAAGGTGAGATGGGCGCTAATGTGGGCTGTTGGCGGCTCCAAGGCCGCGCTGCAACCGTGTCAGGCCGCGCCCGCCAAATGGCGGCGCTGCGACAGTGTGGCCGGTGGCCACATTGGCCATTGCGGCGGCCTCCGAGCGACAGCGGTTCGGGGCACGTAGTCTTCTCCACCCAGATACTCCCCCCAAGCCTGTCCCTGTGTGGCGGTTGTCGTGCTCGCAGTGTTGAAGCAAAACATGGTGGCACAGTAGTAAAGGGAAACCCGCTGCGGTCAGAGTGCCTTGTAAGCTGGCGCGTCTCGCACTCTGGCTGCTGCCCCAAGCGGGCCTGGCCAACGCCATGGCCGCCGAAGCTGGCGGCGCATGATGGAAGAGAGTAAAGCGCGAAAAGTGCTAGGAATGCCATGCGCGAGCTGAGGATGAGACGGGGTAGGAAAAAAATAATGTGAAATGCGTGGCAAGCGCAGTAGCTCGCTCAGAGCAAGGTGCAAGGGCCTCGCCATCAACTCATAAGAATCCCACTTAGGCGCCCCCGAGACCCGCAGCGGGGTCCCTCCCCTGCAGGCAGGCGCAGGGTTCCCAGCACGTTGGCCTCCGGGCCGCCTGGGGGTTCAACCGAGCTCGATGGAGGTCTGCGCCCTCCTGGCGGCGGCGGGGTGCCGCGCTCGCACTGAGGAGGGTGGCCGAGTCCACTCTCGCCAAAGTGGAAGGCATAAGGGCCTCCCCCCTTCGGGAGCGGCAAAGAGGGGGGTGTCCAAGAGGGGGGGTGCAAATCATGACCGGCGGCACGTGCGCGCCCCAGCGGGGGGGCCAGGGACGCACTGAAACCAGAAGAGGCGCCACAAAATCTGGGGAAATACCATGGCCCCCGCCAGGAGGAGGAGGAGGAGGAGGAGGAGGAGGAGGAGGAGGAGGAGGATTAGATTAGATTAGACAGCGCCTTAGGAAAGGTCGGAAGGTGAACACACCAAAGACTGGCAAGGTTAGAAAAAATTATGCCATCGATTGAGAACTGGCTTCTTTGGCCTTGACTCGAGCAAGTAGGCAGCCATTCTCTGCTCATACTGCGGGGCCTCTTCACTGGAGGAAAAACCTCTGGGGACGGACGACACAGACTGCACCTCTTTCGGGCTTGCGAGAGTCGCATCAAGTCGAGAAACGGGGATGGCCTTATCCAAACGTTCCCTCAACCTTGGGTTCGGCCCTAGCCCCCGACGAAACGCGCTCAAAACCTCGAGGCCCTTAAACGTGGGTGCGGCACAAGTCTTAGCAAGTTTGATCATCCTTCCCTGAGTCCAGCCACCACAGTTGAGACATAGAAATTGTTGCTCCTTAATTTCGGTGCGTCCAGAACCCGAGACAGGACCCGAGGAAGCACCAGAAGCAGTTTGAAGAGCCGTTCCCGACACAGCAACGAGAGAATGGCCCATGGGATTCGCGAGCAACTTAGCTATAGCCGTGGGCGTGCCCTGACATCCATCAGCGGGGCGATCACCAGACGAGCTGACTATCAGGCAGTGAACACACTGAATTCCAAGCTCAGTCCGACGCCATTCGTGCCAACTACGCTTGGCTCGTGACCGCTGCTGACTCTGCGGGGCACGTCTCCACCTCAACTCATTCCGAAAAAGCGGGAGGCAGGCACTGGCAAGCTTCACAAAAATCCCAGCTCTCCTCTCAGCCTCCTCAGCGGAATGCAAGAAGGCAGGGGTGGGGGTGGGATGGGAGGCCAGGGCCAACTTCGCATGGTTGTCCACAATCTTATTGGCCTGGCCGAAACGAAATTCATCACCTGCAAGCTGGTTCAACTCTTCATCAGAGCGGTGGGCCTTCACATGAAACGCCTCCAAAAACTTGGAACCATCAAGCTCAAAAGCGAATTTTCGGATGCCAGAAAACTTATTCTGGGCCTCTAACTGTTTGGCCACAGGTCTCTGAATGTGCTGGATCACCCCAAGACAATCGAGACCGAGCCGAGTCGGGCGATCAGCGACCTGGCCACACAAAGCAGCAGCAACATGCTCCGCAGCAGCTGGGCTCTGGGGGAGGGTGCCTGGAACAACGCCTCGTAGCACAGCCCCCATGTCTGTCGTATTCGGTGAAAGCAAAGCAATCGACCAAGCCGCACGTCGGAGCGGCCTAAGCATCTGCTTGGTGGCCGAGCCGTCGGCCGCGAGCTCAAGCGGCTGTCCTAGCGGTACGAGGGCAGCAAGTTCCTCGGGCTGACGGTCGAGCTCGTTACCCTGGCCATCGAAAATCTCACAGGCCGAGCTGAGGGAGGGAGGAACAAGCTGGGAGTCATCATAGACAAAGATGCCACGAGTGCGCAGACAATCATCGGACTGAAGGGCAACCTGCAACGACTCATTGGGGATATCTTCGCAAGCAATCTCACGGGCAGCCAGCACATCTGGTCTGGTGCATGTGTAGATGCGGTGATGCGGGGTATCAACCTGCCCACACTCACAACGACCACAACTAAGATACCCCGCATCTTGGGCCCTCTTCTCGGTCCAATTAGCATCACACGCTGCACACTTTAACAAAAACTGCTGCTGTCGAGTGAAACTTTTCACGCGGGGAACCATCTTGTCCCTGACCAGGTCCAGGGTGGCCCGAAAACCAGGAGGGAAACCGAGTTTTTGGCCCAAGGCCAGCTCAGCCTGCCTCTGGAGGCCTGCTTCAAGCAACTCCTGCAGCATTCGAGGTGACACTAAACTGATATCGATGGGATTCTGATGGTGATCAATCCAAGCACACGCCTCGGGAGCCGACCAACCTGCCCTCTTGAGACACAAGACAACTCTACTGAGCGGGCCTCGACTATTCTTCCAGTCACCGACGCTGCTCGCATTAGCCTGTTGCCACAACGACACGAGGGCAGGGAAACTTAAAAGGGCTCTCTCGGGCGCTACCTTGGAGATCCAAACCATCCTACTCCATTGCAAGACGGGGCCCAAAGCAGCACGGACGTCCCATTCTCCAAAGAGGACCAATTTAGCACTCGCTGAGGTGCCACCGTGCATGGGCGCCTGTCGCCTCGCCTGGGTTCTGCGTATTGACGCCAATTCAGCATCCGAAAACCCCGAGACCTTAGAACCATACGACGACGCAGGAGCCAGGCCAGTACGCAGGACCCCTTGGAGGACTTGTTTTGGCTTGCGTCTAATAAACTTGCTAAACTTACTGATCTTTTTGGCACGCTTTTGCATAGCCTTCAACCTACTCCTAAGTTTGGGTCTCATGCCTTTCGCAGCACGTCGCAAACCAGCGGCCGAATCGACTCCGAGATAAGTGACTGCCTTTCTTACAACTTTGCATTGCATCTGGAGACTTGCTGCTACATCTTTAGCCAAGTCCTCCGATGACGCAACTACGGCAATCTTATCATTCAGTGTTGCACCAATATTACGACTGGCAATCTGGAAATCTTTTCCCGCCGCCACCGCTAGATCCAGAGCTCGCTGCCTGTCTGCAGCAGAGATCTGAATGGCAGAGTCATCAATGTACGACATGAAACTTACGAGCGATGGCTGACGAGAAACAAACCTGTCGAATTCACGAACCGCGTGTATTTTTATGCACAAGTCATTGAAGCAATCACCTGCTGGAAGGCCAAACTGTGCATGCATGCAATCAAGAGAGTGATGCTGACGAAGCCTCAATATTCTTGGGGCTTGCCAAACATTAAAAACTAACTT